CCTCCCTCCTTCCTTCCCTCCCTCCCTCCCTCCCTCCCTCCTCTCCTTCTTCCCTCCTTTCTTCCCCTTTCTTCCTTTCTTTTTCTTTTCTCTTTTTTACATTGGTTACTTTTGGCATAGGGTCTTGCTTTCCTGTCCAGGAACATACCTAGATTACAACCTTATCATAACTGGAATGATAGCCATGCACTGTGACTCCTGGTTTCATCCACTGAGATGGAATCTTGTAGCCTCTTCTGACTGGGTTGACCTGCAACTTCAGTCTTTCTGATCTCAGTCTTCCATGTAGTTAGGATACTAGGCATTTGCCACCAAGACCAACTATGGATCAAGAAGGTAATTTCACAGACTTTTCTGCCCAGCTGGCATTGAGCCATGTTCCTCATGTTTTTCAACCTCCCAAGTAGTTTGAGTGACATATGTGAACCATGAGCACCCAATCATTTTTATTTCTATAGTAATTTTTCCAGGTAAATCAATTGCTCAAATTAAAAGGTTGTGATTCTTAAAAGAATTATTTAGGAAATGCTTAATAACAAAAGCTTGCTTTTTTGTAATGTATGGTAAAAATGAAGGTTCAATTTTTTTCGCGTTGGCCTCAGGATATTCTTAGGCATTGGGAGTATTATTATAAAAATTAATCAGAAGGCACATCTGAAGCCTGGGTTGGATTTATAGAGAAGCTGTGTCCTAAACCATCTCTAAGCAGAAATGTGGAGACTTGCAGTTATTCCTTATGACCTCCAGGTGGTGCTGTTTACCTAGACATGGAAAACAAGTCCAGCCCCTTTAGGTTTGCAGCATGGCTTTTTCTTTCTTTCTTTTTTCAAAATATTTTCCATTTCTACAGATGTGTTCTTTTAAATGGTCAATAAAATTTTATGACCACTGTTTGAAAAATTGCAAGATTATTGTGATTTGTGCTTCCTAGACAAGAACATTTCTTTATGTCCAGACATACCCAGTCAGATGTTTATATTTGAGCATTGGCCTCACTGTTCTATCTTTTCATGCTCCCAGACACAGACATTGAAGACTGTTGATAGAACTCATTCAAGTGTGTGTGTGGGGTGTGTGTGTGTGCTGGTCCTGGGGCTTGGACTTGGTGCTGTCCCTGAGCTTTTGTTGCTCAAGGCAAGTGCTCTACCACTAGAGCCATACTTTCACTTGTGGCTTTTGGTGATTAATTGGAGATTGGTATGCAAGTGTATAAAATGTATAAACTGAAGTAGGGCAGATTCAAGGGAGAACTTGAACATTGTAATTTCTTAGGAAGGCAAAGTCAAAGTTCAGCAAAATAAAACACAAGGCAGATGTACTGGAAGGGGGTGAGGTGGAGTCAAGGGGGAAAAAGTAGACAAATGAAGAGAAGAGGGGGGAATGCCATCAAGAATCCAAGTGTATATCCTACAGAATGACAGAGTGCGGGAAGGTGTGGGTGGGGATGGATGGATGAGAATGTTGAAAGGGGAGACAAATCAAGAAATATCACTTTCATGAACTGCTTTGTTAAATGGCAACGCCTTTCTACAACGAAAGATAAGGAGAGAGACTCTCACAGGCTTTTCAAGCTAGCTGGCTTTGAACCATGATACTCAGGTCTCAGCCTCCTGAATAGCTAGGATTACAGGCGTGAGTCAAGCCACTGATGCCTGGCTACTTGTATGACTTTAAATAATATTTTAGTTCAAGTAAGAGAACTCAACTCTGGAAGCTTCTAAGTGAAGGAGCACCTTCTTTCCTGAAAGTTTTTATCTTTCAGAGCTAGTAAATGTTTCTAGAAGACCTGAATTGATTTTTTTTTGTCTAGGGGTGCTGGTCAGACACCAGAACTGTTTTGATGTTTTGGTATCATCTGTCTAGTGACACCCCCACATTCCAATCCAAATTTAGGAAAGTATTTTTAGGATACAATTGAGAGGAGAATTTCTTCTTAATGGGTAGATGGAAGGGGCAGGGACGGTGGGAAGTTCACCACAGCACTAATTGGAGAACACAGTAATATCAACTTAGTTATGAAATTTGAAAAAAAATTGCTATGTATGCTCCTAAAAGCCATTTTTTACATTGTAATGGTGATGTACAGAGGGGTTACAGTTGCATACATAAAACGCTGAATGTAATTCTTGTAGAACATTGTGAAGATTGGTTTTATAAAACAATAACCAAATAATCCCTCTGTCTGCTTTTTTTTCAAAAGGGGTTTGTAAACAAGCTGGATGAGTTCATTCAGTGGTTAAATGAAGCCATGGAAACCACTGAGAACTGGACTCCTCCCAAAGCAGAGACGGATGGCCTTAAACTATACCTGGAGACACACTTGGTAAGACTGTGTTACTGTGTGGGCACATTTTAATGTGGTGCTTGTTTGTGATGGGAATTTTAGGCAGCAAAAGTCATTACGTGCTAATGAAACCCAATTTTAACAGGATAAACTACAAAACTGAACATTGAGTCATTTGAAATAATGAAAGAAATCTATGTCAAGCTGATTTTTCTCAAAGCTTTCTTCACGATTATTTTTAAATACCTTAGAATTTTTAAATTTGATCCTCACTCTCTAAAGTAAAAAACTGGAAAGTTGTATTCAATTTTTTAAAAAAAAATGAATGAGACTATTTTAATGACCACACTAAAACTTTCTAGAATTCTTATAAAATTTATGAGCCTCTCATTACCAGGAGGGTCTACTGTATCTGTCCTATTCTGAGTTATTTTAATAAAATAAAATATTTATAACAATAATCTCCATCCTTTTTGCTGCTCTGTAGCCTTTTCAGCGGGTAATTAATACAACTGTCATTGTCCCCTTCCCATGATCGGCGAACTCCATGGAGGGGGAAGTAGAAAACACTTGGCTGAATATGTTTCTGAGGAGGATATGAGCAAGAATTATAGACAGGAGAACCTTTGATGAACCGCATGAGGTTTTTCTTGAATGCTTCAAATGGCCAATATCAATTATGAAGGGGTGGAGACCAAGTAGTGGAGTTCAGTAAGGCATGAAGAAAAAGTACGTTGTCATAGGAAATGAAAATTCAAGCTTTAAGGATCTCATCTTTATTCCTTTCACCGATAGCATAAAATTGACAAAGGCAATGAACATGAATCCTTGGGTACCCAACTGTGGGGTTGATTTCTGCCCCTTTTACACACTCAGAATTTGGATGGAGTAAAAACATGGAGTCCTACATGGATGCTCCAGAACTTCTTTCTGAGATGTTATCAAGGAGAGAGAAGGAGACATGGAGAGAAGGAAGAGGGGAGAATAAAAGAAAATGTTTTCTGTGGGGGAGGGGTTGTTTTGCAGCATGTTTTGTATCATTGTAAGAAAAATCCTGTGGCTGCATGCAGATAGCCACGTGGAAGCAAACAGAAGACAGAAAGTGTGGTAGAGAAATGAGTGGGCTGCTTCCCTTTAGAGCACTGGGCTGATGGGCTGTAAAATTGCCAGTGGCCCTCACCTCCTCTCTTGTACATGGATTAAAAAAAAATACTGCCCTTAATACCCAATTCCCTGTTTAACAGTCCCCTCCCCCCCTTTTTTTAAAAAAAAGAGGGCATTTCATAATAGCAAGATAAAGATATTCAGTGCTTTATAATGTAAATGGTATTAATTAGAATGTCAACTTTTCACTGGCATTGTTCTGACAGAAATTCTAATCTGTGTTTAAACAGGAGTATATGAACTTTATTTCACATTGAGTGTGCTGTCTTCATTTTCTTGATTTAATATTTTATGGGAAGTGCACAGTAAGGTTTTGACGTCCCCTAGGGCACGGGGCGCGTGGGGGCAGAAGCTTTAACTGTAGGTTACATATTCAAAGCCATGCCAGGATGGTATGAACCAAGGACTTACTTCTCCCTGGGAGTTGGGTGATAGTCCTCTTTGTAACCAACATTTGCTCTCATCTCAGCTCCCATATTCTAGAGGCCCTTACATGATATCTTGGTGTTTTCTTCCTCAGTCTAACCAGACACTGCCCAGTATAATTTTTTTAAATAAAGAAGTATTCTATACTGTGTGGTACTGTACAGGTGCCATTTGGCCTATTGTACGCTTGAAATATTGTCTGTTCAATCAAGGAATTTTTTTTGTGCTCCTGGAATTTGGGCTCAGGGTCCCACATGCTAGGCAGGTGCTCTACCACTTGAGCCATGCCTCGACTCTTCTTATGTCCCTGTTTTTGTTACATTTGTGCTTTCATTATTTTCTTCTTTCTATTAAACATTTAAACTTAGCCTCTATTAATAGTATAAGGGGATTTCATTGTGATAACTTCATAGATGAACAAATTCAGCTATCTCTTTTGTATTGTCTTAACTCTCCTGCCCTATTTCTTCCATTTTGCAGTTTTCAGTAGATCTCATTATATTATCTTCGTGTGTGTGTGTGTGCGTGTGTGTATGTGTGTGCACGCGCATGTGTGTGCATGTACATGCATGTGTGTTTACCTCAGTCTTTTTCAGTTTTTTTTTTTCTAATCAAGTCTCACATTTTTAGCTAGGTTGGTCTGGACTCTTGGTTACAGCATCCACACAGCTGGTAGAAATATGCGTACCATCACATTAAGTTACAGATTGAGATGGGTCGCTCTAACTTCTTACCTGGGCTGGTTTAGAACTGACATCTTCTTGATCTTTACCTCCTGAGTATCTTGAATTAAAGCTATGAGCTACCATGCTCACCTGTTTTTAATATGAATTATGTAATTTAAATTGCCACATGTGCCTGGTGACTGTATTCTATCTAGCCTCCTAAGTTACAAAACATTTTATTGGTTCCCGTAATGAATTACAGGTATCTGTATCTACTCTATAATGACATTTTCATACAAAATGTGGAAATAATTATCCACTTTGTTGTGAACCTCCAGTGTAGAAACCTATAGCAAAAAGTCTTTCTTAAGATATTTCTTTTAAAGAATAGCTTTGTTTCTGTCCAATAATTAACAACGTCTTGGAGGAGTTTTAGCCTCATCATTTCTCATTATAATGGTTAAAACAGAAATGACATAGGGATGTCTTTTGTGTCACTGTTTTTTTTTAAATAATAGGAAACTGATTTCCAGATCTGTTCACTAGATATTAAGTCACAGTCTCAAATTTTATTTCTCCAATTATGAACAGTAACATTTCACAGTTGCCAAAAATCTAGTATGTAACATTCTAGTGATGCTTAAGGACAATCATTAATAGTCACTTTGATACTGTATGCTGTGTCTCTTACTCTAGAATACAGGCTGTGGCCCAAATATCTTTCGAATTTTGAGCCTTTCTCTATGTGTATGTATTTTTCTCCTGACAACATTGCCATGTATATTTTTATTATATGTCCTTATTGTCATGCTGAGTTAATACTAAGTTAAGAGTTAAGTTAAAAGATATCATCCCATAAAATAAAATATAGGAATAAGCCTAGGGATTTATAGTCCTTAGTTTACTCAACTAATTACTAATGCTCTTAATGAATGGGCAATTGGTATTTGTAAGGAATTCAGTAGTAGAGACAGCTGCACAAGTTTAGTTAAACATCTTTATAGATTCTGTAATTTACCATTAATTAAACAGAGGTCAAACCTCTAGAACTGCAGTCTCTCCTGTTATAATGCATTAGAATAGCTGGCACTTCCTAATATTAATTGTAAAGGAAAACAAATACAAAAAGAATAGAAAGATTTATATTTTGACTCCTAATTCAGTTATTTTCCATGATAGTAACCAAGGGTTTTTGCCAACATAAATCAATTAAAGCTTTACAATACATTTATGAGAGATATGCAGGAGCTTTATTTTAATTGTAAGAAATACTGTGAAATTACAATGATACATCAATGATTTTCCATGATAATTAATCATCTGCTTGCAACCTGGCTGCTCTTTTCAAAATTATAATTCCTATCTTCCTAGAAAATGACATTTTTCTTGCGGAAAATGCTATTTGTGAGTATTGAACATCCCCCCACCCGTGTAAATCATTTAAAAATTAGCATTGTATAGAGATTTTTGAAATGACTATCTTTTGTCTGTCCCTTCTAACATCAACATCCTTCTCTTCCCCCTTTTAAAGTCAGCTTTATCAAGGTATAATTGGCCTACCTCAAATTACATTTTAAATATACACGTTTATAATTTCTGACAATATACACATATATTCATATATATATATATATATATATGATCATCACCAAAATCAAGGTGAACATATTCATCATTTTCCAGAAACTTTATCATGATCCTTTGTGATTCCTTCTTCTGCTTCATGTGAGCAACACTCAACTGTAGATGACAGTTAGTACACTGCTGATAGCAGTGCTGGGTGTGGAGTGCAACTAGGCTGCAGGGCTGTTCTAGGGATGTGTGAAAACAGGTGAAGTGAACAGTGTTTGTATAGAAAAGAAGAGCCCAAGTCAGAAGAGGGGAGTGCACACAGAGTTTGTACTGAAAGAAGAACAAATTTTGTTTGTCCCACAATTGATGGAAATTAAAAGAACTCTAGTTATATAAGCACACTCAATCATACACCTTGGAAAAAATCCAAACCATATAAAAGCATAAAATTAGAAGTGAAAATGGCCCTCCTTTGGGTGATCATTTTCTAAGTACTGTGGATATTTGTCCCTTATTTGTTCTCTGGTCTCCACCATGGTGCCAATTTTCATCACAGGAAAGATTAGAGATTCAGTTTTTTGAACTGTAAGTATACTTTAGATTGAGGCACATATTCGATGTAGCGCTGATAAAAAAAAAATCTTTTCCTGCTCTGTGGGCTATTTATCTTGCTAGCTATGTCCTTTGCGATGTAGAAACTTTTTAGTTTGATTCAATCCCATAATTAGTCTTTGCTTTGTTGTGATTCTGGACCTTTACTTCGGAAGTTTCAGTCCATGCCTGGGAGCCCTAGTGTTTACCTTCCTGTAATATTTTCATGGTGTCTGAATTTATATTGAGGTCTTTGATCCATTTTGAATTGACTGTGGTGCAGGGTGATACATAGGGACCTAGCTTTAGTTTTCTGAATGTGTATAGCCCACTTTGCCAGCACCATTTGTTGAAGAGACTTTCTTTCAACCTTTGTTTTTGGCCCTCATCAAATATTAAATGGCTATATGTCTGTGAGTTCATTTCTGGGTCTTCTGTTCCTTTGGTCCTCAGGCCTATTCTTGTGCTAGTACTAAGTTGTTTTTATTACTATGGCTTTGTCATTAAGCTCCCTAAACAACTCTCAAAGAAATAACAACCCAATTAATAAATAGACTAAAGATGTAAAGAGATAATTCTCAGAAGAAGAAGAATGGCCAATAGACACAAAAAGAAATGTTT